CGGATCCCTCCCGCTTTCTCTTCGGTCTCACCCTTTCGAGGTTCAGGGGCTCAAGAGAAGAGAAGTGGCCTCATCTAAGAAAAGCATCCAGGTCTGATGAAGAGTCATCTTTCCCCCAAGGTGGGGCTGCTTGCTGAGCCCCAGGCCCAGGTGCGGTCCCTTAAGACCACCCATTTCCAGAGGCATGGTAGAGAGGTAAAGGGTGTGTGCCATGACATTCGCTGGACAGCCCGTGGTGACCGTGGTGAGCCTGTGCTTACATCTCAGAAGTCAGGAGCCTGGATGCGGCCCTGACTGTCCCCAGTGATGTGAAGCACAGTTTTGCTCACAGGTTCAAGCCTGTCCTTTGTGGCTCAGTAAGATTGCTTCTACCTGAGTCTGTGGACTCATTAAAAAAATAAAAACAGAGGTTTCTGGCCAAGTGGCCCAAAGAACATAAAGATTTTTTGAAAGGAAAATCTTTGTCATTACATTTGTCTCTGTGGATTGATGAGCGATGGTCTCTTTCTGCCCATCGCTGTCCACTCCAACCCCTTTGTCCTCACAAGATTTCGCCTTGTCCAGTGGTAGGTGGCTGATGCTGTTAGATAAAAGATATCTGTGTACAGTCCTTGAGGCTCCACTTAATACAGGCTTACTGCCTTAAATAGAGTCGGGTCTAATGCTCCCATTGCCTTTGTCCAGAAACCAGGCTATCAAAGGAAATTCCAGCCTTGACATATATGGCTGAGAAGTGGCAGAGCAGTTGGTGTGGTTCTGGGGGAGGAAGCTGTCTTCTCTCATCTGGACTCCTGTCCACCATCACGGCTTGTCAGGTGGACGTTGGTTCTGGTGAAGGGTTGTGGTTTTATGAGCACTGGTAACACTACTGATGGGTTGATGTGGAGATAGAAGGGAAGAGCTGAGAACAGAGGGTAAGGAGGGCAGTTTCTTCCCAAATATTAACCTGAAGTTTAAAGAAAATAAGGTAACAGCACCCCCAGTGTGGATGGAATAATTACATATCTCCCTGCCTGGAATTCAGAGCGGATTTAGGTCTGCATGACATTTGTCATCAGGGAGTATGCGGGTGCTGACTCAGCAAGAACCACCCCCTCCCCCAAACTCCCTACACTGTCTTTTTGATCCTTCACACGAGAAAGTGATGACTTTGCAGGAGCTGCTGACAAGTAGAGGATCAGGGCTGCACCTGGAGAGCCCGCTGCTTTACGCCTTGGTCTGTGGCCCCCACTGCCTGGGGCTTTGGGATCACAAGGCTTTCTCAGAGGCTTCAGCATAAACCTGTGAGTCACTGGGCCTGGCCCCAGTCCTGGGTGGATGCACAGCGTTATCCTGTAGTCGTGGTGTAGATATACGTAGGATAACTAGAGGGATGTCCTAGGTCTTAAATACTCCTCATTGTGGTACCCAAACATACTTACACCGCTCTGAACACTTCAAGCTTCCTCACTCAGACTGCCTTGACTCTGGCCGCAGGACAGCAAGGCATGCTGCTCAGGTCATCTTGGTTACGACATTCTGGACTCCAGAGCAGAGACACTCTTACTGCATCTCAGGCTGCAGGCTCTGGGGGCATCAGTTAACCAGAAAGAGAGGTGAGACAGGCAGCTGTCAGGAGTGGATGAAGGAGTTGATGAGGTAGAAGTGGGACAGCTGGTTATAGATTGGCCTCTCTTGTCCATCTGTTAGTGCCCTGAAGTCAGTATCTTTGTGCCCGCAGCAGTATTGGCTGATGGTGGGTGTTCACACTGAGGGAGGTGGGATCAGGCCAGGGGCAGGAGTTTTGGACATGGGGTGATGCGCTTTGAATGCTAGTCACCCTCAGTCCCATCAGGACTACTTCTGCTTTGAAAAATAACATCCACAACTACGAGTGGGCTTGTTGGGACAACTTATAAGTTACTACCTGAGAGAGGACCCAGCAAAGCCCAGCCCACGAGTAAATGGAGGGGTCCTTTCCTCCCGTGGCTTGTGTCTGCAGAACTGGGACGTTTTCAAACACCGACACAGGAAAACAAGCAGGGACGATGGTTTTAGAGGCAGAGGAGAGGAGGCAGGTTGTAGGGGGCTATGAGAGGAAGATGATGGGTAGAAGATGTACTGCATCTGAGGGCATCCAGTGCACCTGGACAGAGCCGCAGGCAGCTATGGGAGTTGGTCCTGGAGGCCAGAGGAGAGCTGGGCTGGCAGAATGGGAATGAGTCCTCAGCATCAAGTGAAGGTTGGGCCAGATGAGGAAGCAGGGACAGCAAGGCACTCAGACCCAGAGCCTTGGGGTGGAGAATGCCAGGAGCCCAGATGGAAGGTAGAGAAGGACTAGGGTCAGGGGTCAGTACTTTCTGAGATGGGGATCTCTGCATGATGGTGGCAGAGGAGGAGGGGGGGCAATAGATTCAGAGCAAAGCAAAATGGTGGGTGAAGGAAGCACAAGGAAACAGGTTTAGTGGGAGCTGGGGGTGTGGAGACTGCACAGGTTGGAGGGATTCATTTTGCAAATGAGGGACATATGTCTCATTTGAATGCATGTAAGGAAGAGACCACAGAAATGTATGCATATTTTTGGAAGAAAGCTTGCACAAAATTCACAGGTTATATCCAGTAAGCAAGGCCTCCATCTCAACTTTTGAGGGGTGTGAGGGTTTTCCTTTCTGGGAGCTAGAGCAAGCCCTGTTTTGAGATCCTGGAGAGGAGTTGATTGGAGTCCAGTAGGTCTTAGCCCTGGGGACTAAATTCACACACATATCATCACATTTCTCTGCACTGAGCCCTCCCGCCCCTCTGAGCATCACTACAAGGTGGAGAGCTGGATGTTGGCCATCAGCTAAGCTCACTCATCATCTCCCGCAAACACTAGGTTGGGGCCCATGATTCCACCAGTGCCCCAGCCAAACGCCAGGTTATCATATATCATTGACTTTTGTGGGGAGTCAAAATCTCCAGTGTTAGGTCCACAGATTTCAAGTGCCTCCTGTGGCAGAAGCAGGAAGCTATAAACCGTCTAGGAAGTTGGAAGTGGGCACAGGGGGGTGATGTCATTGGCATCCATGTCTTAAAGAGACTGGCTTTAGAGGAGTGTTTTGTGTCACTGAGCTTTCCATCACACTTAAGAGTTTTCATATTTACTCTTGAAGTTCCACTTCAATGATACCAACAGCAATCCTGTGGTGTACTTTTATGATCTTCATTTGACAGGTGAAGAAGCCCAGCCTCAACTAGGTCAAGTAGAGTTCCCCAGCGACGGGGCTAGTGGATTTCTGCAGACTCAGAGCTGCTGACCCCAAAGCCAAGTTCTTCCTGTCTCTCCCCACCATATGTTCTCACCATCATTTGGCAGCAATCTTGAGAAGTCCCTTCCTCACCCTAGTGTCCACGTTGCCCCCGCTCTGAGGGAAATCTGAGCAAGCTGGGAATGAGCTCTATCCTGCTGGGGAGAGCACCTGGGCAGGTTGAGATGGGTATCAAGGAAGCTTGGCCTGCAAATTTCCCAGGGACACAGGGCAGGAAACAGGAGGGGACAGGGAGAGGGTGAGAGAACAGATGAGGATCAGGATGAAGAATTTGTGTCCAAACACTTGCTTTCAGGGTTGAAAAGAAGGGAGAAAGGCAGCAGGATGTGGGAGGGACAGAGGCTGAGGGAGAGGACCCCATGGTAAGAAAACCCAGGAAGGTGGGGCCCAAGGTGCGAAGGGGTGGGGCACATCAGATGTGGTGGTCAGTAGTAGAATACCCACCTCTTTAGTCTCTGCTCATGGACACAAGCCTGCTTCCAGAGGTAGTCGCCCACCAGCCTGGGTGTTTCCTGAAGCAAACTCCTCTTTCTTCAGCTTGACTATAGAAGCATGGCCCAGGCAGGCATTCCAGATGCGAAACTGGCTCTTCCCACTGGTGGCATATCCAGTGGGATACAGGGGGGCAATTGCACTGGGAGAAGTCAGTAAAGGGGTGCACCATCTGTAGAAAAGTTAAAAGCAGTATTGAAATGCCCTCACAGCATTCAGCAGTTCCAAATGATGGCAGTGATGGAACCCCCACCACCACCACCCTGGTACAGCATCACTCCCTTCTCGGGCAGGACCACTGCTCCAAGCCTGCAGGAAGCAGCTTCGAGGGAGAAGGGCATCAACCAGCATGGTCTCAGCCCACCCACCTCTCCTGACTCTACCTCACCCCACTCCCCGAGGTCCCTGCTACAGCAGCCAACTGGGGAAAATGGGTTTATTTGCAAATCCCTACCCAGGCGAGCACCCCAGCAACAGCTTCGAGGCTTCCAGCACTTTCTGTGGTTGTTCGCAGCTCTTGGCTATGACTCAGACTTCCTTCTCCGGGCTGTGATTCGGATGCCCTTGCAGGAGATAGAATGGCCTGTCAGCATTGACACCTTGTCCAGGCGCCTCCTGGGAACTGGTCTTGTCTGTCCCATCCTGGCCATGTGGCTTGCCAACCTGTCAGAGTGGGAAATGCACTAACTCCATGACAACCTCTTTTATCTGGACCTTGACCAGCAGAAAGTTCTCCCATAATCTCTAATGGAAAAGTCTTTCTCCTTGGTCCTGGTTCTGACCTTCTAGGGTCATAGGAGCTAGTCTAATTCATCTTCCACCCTGAAACCTTCCATATGCTCAAAAGCAGTTTTTGAGCATGGTCCCTGGGCTCCTCTGTTCCAGGCCAAAGCCTGACACGGAGGCCCCCACCCTGCTGGCCCCGGAGAGTGTTCCAAAGGCGCAAGCACAGTCCTCCATATGTTCTGTGTCCGCCAGTTTCATGGTTAAGGCAAACCACCCTCCCAGGTGCGAGTTGTTAGCATCCTCATTGTGGGCAGGGAAACCAAGGTAGCAGGCCCGTGGAGTCTGGCTGTGGAGTCAGTGCCCTAGGCAGGCTGCTGGCCGCCCTCCCCTCGCCCTGGGACCTGGGATTCCCCGGCACCTGGTGTCTCAGAGCTGCCGTTCTGTGCGGCTCAGTCTAGGAAGCAGAGCAGTGATGGGGGCGTCGCTGTCTTGCAGAAATCTCCTTCAGGGTATGGATGTGTGGGGGCAGCCTGGAGATCGTCCCCTGCAGCCGAGTGGGCCATGTCTTCCGGAAGAAGCACCCGTATATTTTCCCAGATGGCAACGCCAACACGTATATAAAGTAAGTATGTGTTGTGGGGGTTCGGGTTCCCCGGGGGTGGCGGTGGCCACGGGCTTTTCTGGTGATGGGCTGTGGCTGTCCCGGGTTCTCTAGTAGGTTCGGCTGCCTGAGTGTCGTGAATGGACAGGGGCTGCATGTTACGCTTGCTGGGCCACAGCCTGGACAAGAGAGGTCAGGCCTGCCCATCCAGGTCCAGGCTGGAGGCCTTGAGGTCGTTTTCCACCCTTGACTTCTCCCAGGCTTGGCAAGGCCCTGCCTGTGGCCTTGGGGGCTTTGAGTCACTAGGCAGCACCCTCCCGCAGGGCTCAGGGCTCTGGGTATTTTGTGTTGTTTGGGGCAGGGGGAGGGCAGCCATTTTTGCCGCTGAGTTCTAGAAGATCCCCTGCAGGGATCTGCAGGGATCACCCTCAGGCTGGGTCACCAGGGGAAAGGCCCTTGGGGAAGATTCGGGAATGGAGGCACAAGTAGATACAGCCCAGGTGACCGCTCCAGGGCCTCGTGGGTGCACAGAAATGGCCAGGCTGCCATAGCCCCTGAGGCCCTGGGCTCCCTTCCTGGGGCTCGTCACTTCCTGCCCAGGGACAGGACAAAGACCGTGAGATCTCAGTGACCCAGCAATGCTCACTTGCCTGTTCTTGCTCGCTCCACACACCTGTCTCCTTTTCATGATTTCTTCTTCTTCAACCTTTTTCCTCTCCTTTAAAAATAATTCTGTACCTCCTTTTCTCCTTCTGCTCATCTTTTCCTCCAGCTTCTCCCCTTCTGTCTAATCCTCTTGTCACTTGACAACTTCACTCCCCATTTATTCCTCCTTTGCCTTTTTTTCCTCTCATTTGGTCCATTCTGGGGAGGGAGGAACAGAGCACCTCTTTGAGTGTTTTTCTTCCCCTGCAGTGTTTTCTTCTGGGTTCCCTCATCCTTGGTTACTCACACGTGTGGACAGATGTGGGTGTGGACAGGTGTAGGGGAGCTGTAGGCTTGACCAGTGAGAAAGCTGACCTCATGCTGGGCAGGGTAGGGTCGTGAGAACCCCCTTAGCAGGGACTGGAACTAAGGCAGGGCTGCCTGGGCTCGGGGTCTTGACCGGGAAAGGTGAGCTGGGATGCCTGGTGCAGGAAAGTCAAGGGGCTATGATGTGGAGCGGGGGCCAGGTGGGGAGTTGGGGGCAGAGCCGCGGGCTCTAGAAAGTTCCTTGCATTTGGGACTGGGCCCTGCATGCCACCAATGGAGTTGAGGGGAAACTTGGGGCAGTGTGGTCTCGGCAGCGTCCAGTGTGCTATGGTTGGGCCAGTGGAGGGAACCGGCAAGGAGCTGTCTTCAGTGCACCAAGAGCTGACTGCGTGTGCAAAACTCCTTCAGGCCCATGGGCTTGAAGGGCAGGCCATGCCCTCTTGGTGACACCCCCGAGTCCATGTACTCAGGCCTTGGGAGGTGCTGCTTAGGCCTGAGTTTTCCCGTGTCTTCTCTTCCTGGTACCCTGGTGTCCCAGACAGCTGACTGGCAACATCCTCCGTGTCTCTCTCTCTTTCTGTGACCTTTGGGGTCAGACTCACAGCAGATAGCTAATTTTTTAAAAAAACTTCAGAGTCCTGGCAAATATTTGACCAAGATGGCTTGGTTACTTCATTCTTTACACCTGCGCCAAGCTAATCACATGGCCTGTGCAAATCTCGTGCATGACTGGCTTTCCCCTTGGAGAGCCGAGTCCTTTGCTGATGGGGAGAGTTCTAGAACAGGAGCCCACGGATGGCCAGAGATGAGATGGTCAGCACCCTCCCCTCTTGTACTGTCACCAAAGGGACACACCAGATTCTCCTGGCTTTTTTCTCTTTTTCTGAGGGCCATGGGAAGTTCAATTTCTGGTATAATTTCTCTGGTCTGTGCCTTTTGGGAAGAGGGTATGTCGTGACTACTAAAATCCTGGGTCTTGGGGGAGAGGCCCCTTTGGAGATTGGTGGGCTCAGCACCCTGGGGAGAATAAAGTTACTGAACCGTGGTGGCCCCCGTGCAGGCGACACTGCCCACTCGTCACATGTGTGTATTTTACCTGGGTTCATCCCCGGTCCTCTCAGACAGCCTGTCGCTGACACCCCTTGTCTCTCCAGGAACACCAAGCGGACAGCTGAAGTGTGGATGGATGAATACAAGCAGTACTACTATGCTTCCCGGCCATTCGCCCTGGAGAGGCCCTTTGGCAAGTGAGTGTCTCCCCTGGTTGGTTTGTGCAGACAGCCCAGAGCCGCAGCTCACCGGCCGCCGGAGCCGGGGCTGGGCCTGTTCTGCCTTGCTGTGCCTTCTTGCTCCTGCCTAGTCCTGGGTACAGGGCCCCGGGCCACGCCTGTGGGAGACCCTGGAAGCCTGGACCATCCACTCAGTGGGTAGAGCCATGCCCTGTGCAGTGGACTGGTGTTTCCAGCTTTTTACAGAAAGGTGGGATGCTGGGCTAAGCAGCACTGCTCCCTCTAGATTAGAGTTCCCTTCTCCTCCTTCTCAGCTACTGAAGCCTGAATCCTCCTCTTTTTAGGAAGAACAGTACTATGTAGACCTCCTTTAGAGCAGGGCTCCAGCTTCATGGGGGTGGAAGAGGACAGGGAGAGGAGTTAAGGGCCAGATGCCATTTCATGAGATGCCTCATTAGTCCTCTGCAAGCTGAGAAATGGGTATAACTACCCCTGTTTTACAGATAAGGAGCCTGAGGCTTCTACAGCTTCAGGTACTTGCCATGGATCACACCATTATAGGAGGAGAAGCTCAAATCACACTTGTCTGATCCCCAAACTTTGTAATGTTGCATTCCCCAACTCAGGGCTGGTTTGAGTAGAGAAAAATGCAACTTGATTGATGTCATATTCATCTCTTTTGAGAGGGGGCAACTGGTGGCTTTTGTCATCTGATGTCCCTCAGTCGTACTAAGGCTGTGGAGCAGATGGCATGTTTGCGGCCTACACTCCATCGATCGAGCCCTTCACTCCCAGGTGGATTAAATCACAAGCCTGCCAAAGTGTTTGCATTTCTGAAACTGAAAACCCACGCTGGTCTCCGCTTCTCCTCAGAGCCTCCCACAGTGTTTATTCTGAGTCCTTAGCTAACTTCCGGTTCATTGGCCATGTCCGTCCACCCCTCCTTTCTTCACTGCCTTCCCCTCTCCAGCTTGGGTTCTACTTTCTTGCGTAAGCAGAGTGCTTAAAAGATGCTGTCCTTGAATCTCTTGCCATGTTGGGCATCTACCCGCCCTCCCAGGCCTCCCTCTTGACCTTGGGTGAACCTGACTTTGTGCCTTTTCCTCCCTGTGGGCAGGCTGCTGAACTGCTCTGGGAGTATCAGCTGGTGCTGCTAAGCCTCCGTGGCCATCTGACTCAGGGAGGCCCTCAGTGGGCCTCTTAATCCTGCCCCCTTGCCTGGCCGGCATTCTCCTTCAATCTTCATTTGTACCTTTTCCATTTTCTCCAGCTGCGGAGTCCGCCCTGCTTTCACTCACAGAACATGACACCTCTGTTTTATAGATGAAATAGACAGCACCAGCTTCCTGAGCCCGACCACCCTGAACCTGCACTATCCCCCTGCCTCTTTTATCTGGAAGGATAAGGGGTGCCTCCTGCTGTGGCAGGCCAGCCCTCTACCTGTTCCCCAGATGCACTCTTCTGCATTCATTCATAAATCAGCACTGATCGAGTTCCCACTGCCTGGATTCATCTCCGCCTGCCTCTCAGCTTCTCAAACTTTAATGTGCACACAGATCTCCGGGGGATCTTGTTACAGTGTGGATGTTGGTTCAGTAGTGTGCATTTCTACGAGCCCCAGGTGGTGCTGGTGGTGCTGTGCTGCTGGTCTGAGGACCTCAACTCAAGGAGCAGAATTCCAGGGTGATGGTTTCCAGACTGTCTGCATGTCTCAGTCACCTGAGGAGCTTCAAAAACTGCTGCTGCCTCTATTCCAGCCCCAGAGAGTGGATTAAGTCTGGGCTGTGTCCTGGGCTATAGAATTTGTAAAAGATGCCTCCCCCCCCACCAACTAGGTGACTCTAACCTGCAGACAGTGTGGGAGCCTCTGTTCCAGGGGACTTCGCCCACCCTGTGCCTTCACGCTCCCTGATCACCCAACTCTCTTCTCTATTGCATGGTTCCCCTTAGTATTTAAATTTATTCTGTATCTTACATATGTTTTAAAAAATAAAAAAGAGAAGGAAAGAAAACAAACTATAAGAACTCTCCCTCAAGCCAACATTGCTCATCACCTATACCCTGTCTTCTGCTCCTTCAGAGCCAAGCTTCATGAAAGAGCTGCCCACATTGCTGTTTGTGGCTCCCCATTTCCCTTCTTCTGACTGTGAGCTGAGGCCATGGCTTCCCTCCCCTACAATCACTCCCACATGGCCCACCCATGCCCCCCCGGGGCCCTTACCTTCCTCGATTACTCTATTGATATGAGTCTTCTCCCACCCAAACCCCTTCAGGCACCCCTCTGATCTCGGTTTCTAGAACTGAAGTCTTGGCTCTCATCCTGGGATGCAAGCTGCACCCTCTCTGCCCACCCTTGTATGTTGGTCTTCCCAGAGGACCTGTCATAAACCCTCTTCTTACTCCAGGTTTTCCCTGCCATCAGCCACCTCCGTGCTGCCGATAAACATGTTTCCATCCTTCTCCTGCACCTCTTCTCTGAGCTCCAGCCCTTAGAGAAGGAAATGGCAACCCAACCAGTATTCTTGCCTAAAAAAATCCCGTGGACAGAGGAGCCTGGTGGGCTACAGTCTAAGAGGTCACAGAGTTGGACACAACTGAATGATTAAACACATCTTGCACCTCTCCAGTCCTTATGTCCGAATGGCAACTGGACATCTCTGCCTGGATGCTTCCCAGGCTCCTCTGACTCAACAAGTTCTAACTGAACTCTTCCTGTTTGCTCCTAAACCTGCTCCTTTCTACCATATTCCCTACCTTAGCTCTTCCATGCATCCTGTTGTCAAACCAGAAATCTTGAGTGTCTACCTTGACTTCTCCCTCCCCATCCTCCCGCACCTAAACTATCACCAAGTCCCAGAGATCCTGCCTCACTCATACACTGATCGTCTGGATTCTTGCAAATACTGAACAGTTAGCCTTTTTTAAATGATGTCATTCCTGTCCTCATGTTGCTTAGCATCTGGTAAGGAGATGCAGTTAATGCTGTATAAGGAGTTCCAGTATCATGAGGGTGCCTAGTCCAGTCTTTGGGGTGGAAGGAGGCGAGGCTTGAGAAAGCAGGGCTGGTTCTGTGTGGTTGCCCAGGAAGAACAGGACGTATGTGGAAATCAGGTGTACTGGTGGAAGAGTAGAGAGAATGAAACCTGTCCTTCTCTCCCATCCCACCCTGCTCACCTGCCAGAAAGCATGATCAGCACCGGGTTTCGACAGTGATCTCCTAACTGCTCTTCCAGCTTTGGGCACCAAACTCATTTACCTTCAGTTGCTATTGTTGTTCAGTCGCTCAGTCGTGTCCAGCTCTTTGAGACCCCACGGACTGTAGCACACCCAGATTCCCTGTCCTTCACTATCTCCCAGAGTTCACTCAAACTCATGTCTGTTGAGTTGGTGATACCATCCAACCATCTCATCCTGTCGTCCCCTTCTCCTCCTGCCCTCAATCTTTCCCAGCACCAGGGTCTTTTCCATGAGTCATTTCTTTGCATCAGGTGGCCAAGGTATTAGAGCTTCAGCTTCAGCATCAGGCCTTCCAATGAATATTCAGGGCTGATTTCTTTTAGGATTGGCTGGTTTGATCTCCTTGTAGTCCAAGGGACTAAAGAGTCTGTTTCAGCACTACAGTTCAAAAACATCAATTCTTTGGCACCATCAGTAGATGCTCTTAAAGGAATAATACTGCCACATTGTACTGTTTCAAACCCATCCGTGGCAGCCCATTGCCCTGAAAATAAAGGCCAAGCTCCTCCTTGGTATTTCACAGGACCTTTATGACTGCACGTTCACCTCTCCTCTGACTCACCTCCCCTCTCCCATGCCCCCCCCCAACACATTCTAACTTGCACCACTGCTACCGCCAATAGACCCCTTCCCTCTTCACATGCTGTTTCTCTTTGCTGTTCCCTTGCCACTACCAGGGGCCCCCACTTTACCCTCTTTCTGGTTTGTCTAGACAATGTTCACTTTCCTTCCAGCTTCCACATCACCACCTGACCACCACCAACCCGACAAGCAAGGGGCCACCCCTGAGATGCTCCCACATTCCCTGCACACCTACCCCACATCCACCCTGGGCTGTGAGCACCTGCTTCTTTACCTGTCTCTCTTGCTTGAAAGCTCACCATCAGGTCCCTCTTGGGCACAATGCCCAGCACATACTAGGTACTTGGTAAATATGTGATGGCCAAAGCCCAGAACCAGCTAAAGAAGAGAATTCTTTGAGGCTGGCTTGGCCGGAATTGGGGGTAGCAGGTGGGGGAAGTAAGGGTGGTATTTTAAGAGCAGAATCCAGAGGGGGATTTGTGAGGAAGTAGACCCAGAGCCCTGGCAGTGAATTATTAACAACATTCCAAATGTTCTTGTGGCTTTGTTTTTAATGAAAAGTAAAAACACCCCCAAATTCTATTTCCAAGTAAAAGCACAAATCTTTGGTGACATCACCGCTCCACTATGAGGTATTGCCAAGTGTTTCCATAGCTCTCTCTGGGGCTCTCAAAATCTCTCTGCTAATTTCTCCAGCACCCTCCAGAGAGCCGTGGGTGCAGAGAGTGGGCACGGTCTGCATGGGGCACCTCCCAGCCTGGAGGGTGGGTGCCCCTGGGCCCCTGTGGCTGGTACCTGTCTCCAACCAGCTGTGTTTTGTCTCCGTGTCTCCCCGCCTCTGCCACCCCCAGCATCGAGAGCAGACGGAACCTGAGGAAGAACCTGCAATGCCAGAGCTTCAAGTGGTACCTGGAGAATGTCTACCCAGAACTCAGGTATCTGCCCTGTGCCTTGAGCCTTTGCTGCCTGCAGAGAGACCCTCTGCTAACTTGGTTTGGAGAAGGGACTTCCCGTGGCCATCTGTATGAGGGTTTTTAACTAGATGGAGGTCTGAAAAGACCAGTTGGCTCCACTTATCCCAGAAACCTGAGAGAGGATTTTATTCATTGGTGGCATGAGGGATTGAGGTTGGCTTCTAGCAGTGTTTCTCAGCTGCTGGAGTTTGAGCTCTGGAGTGTGACCTCAGGGCGTGGACTCACTGATTCCAGGCTCCAGACTCCGGAGTCACCCCTTGCTGCCTCATTCCTAGTGGTACCTCTCCCATCCTCAGGCCCTGAGTAGTACAAGTCACTGTAACACAGCCAGGGCGACGTTCCCCTGCCATTTTCCAGAACCGCCCGACATCTCCGCCAGCTGGTGTTACTGTTAATCCTAAGAACTGCGGGTTCTCATCCCTCCCGTGGCCTTCCTGTAGGGTACCCAAAGACTCTTCCATCCAGAAGGGCAGTATCCGACAGAGGCAGAAGTGCCTGGAGGCTCAGAAGCAGAAAGACCAGGAGATCTCCAACCTCAAGTTAAGCCCCTGTGTCAAGACCGAAGGCAAGGATGCCAAGTCCCAGGTAAAGTAACCTGGGACTACTTGAACGGCTGGGGATACCTGAACATATGAATGTGTTTGGCCTCGGCTTCCTGCTTTTGCATGAACCAGCTGTCTAGTTATACCTGGAGCTGTACAGCAGAACAGGAGAAGCACAATGCCCCTCACTCTGGGACTGGGTTCACTCCACTAGGTTTCCAAATGCATGGGCTTTCTCTTAAAGATGCCTCCCCAGGCAACTTACCACCTCTAGGAATTAACCATTAAATTAGCAGGAGTTGAATGAGGATGTCCAAGCTGCTGGTGGTAAATGTGGGCTGGATCAGGCAGGGTGGGCAGCATGGCCACCTCAAAAGTATGAGATGCAAACTGAAAAGCCACTGCCTCCAGGATGAAATATCTGCTCGATGCGTCTCCCTGCTGATCTAACCCCGCCTTCCAGGCAGTCACATCAGCAGTGGTATGGCCTTCTCCGTCGTCCGCCATTCTGGTCTCTGGGCAGGTCCCTTGATCATCGCTCTTCTGCCCTCTGCAGGCCTATGGCTCCACCTCTGCACTCTCCTGCTTCCCCCAGGTCCAGAGGGACCTCAGTCGCCCCTTCTCAGAAAGGTTTCCTTGTGCCTTAGCTGATTCATCAATACTCTGTGGGTCAGTGTTCTGCCCTCTGAGGATCGAGCTCTTTTAAAAGTCACTGGCATATTCACAGCCTGTCTCAACCTCCGTAACACTTGGCCTGCTGGATGCATTAGAGCTTGTCCATCTCGTGACTTGCCTCCTGGCTCTGGGGACACTGCACGATCCCGATTGTCCTGCATTTCTGTTCTTTCCACCGCTTGTTTTTACTGCTGGTTCCTCTCCCCAGCTCTCATACCCTTATGGTGAATATTCACCAAGGTTCTCAATTCACTGTTCCTTTCTCTGTGAGTGGTTTCTTGGAAATTTTATTCGTGCTTTCAGCTTTAGTAACCTCCTCTGTATTATTGATTCACAAATTCAGTGCCTTCACCCATCCGTGAATTCACTCATTCATTCATTCACTCAACAAACATGTACATTCTCTGCTGACTGTGGAGATGCACAGATGAAAGGCCACGTGGCGGGTATCGGTGGCCCCTCAAGGTATCTGATGCAGAAAGGAACAAGTCAGCAGCCACTGTGATCTAATTTCTGCCCTGGGGACAGTTTGGTCCATGATGCTGTATAAGTGCAGAGTGAGGGTGTCCAACCTCTGCATGAGGGTTAGGAAGTCTTCCCAGAGGACCTGAGCAGGAGTGGTGTCCTCAGAGATGAGTAGAAACACGCGGGTCAGGAAGGGGAGAAAGGGCAGGCAGGGAAGTCCAGCGTGTACCATGCCCTGGGCCTGGGAGGCAGGGTGCCTTTCAAGACATAGTCAGAGGGATGGAATGTGAGGGTGAGACTGGAGAATAAGGAAGAAGCACCTCACAGCCTCTTTTCCCAGCTGAAGAGGTTGAGCTTTATCCTCAGGAGCAGGGACTGTGCAAGCCCAGGAGATGGATGGAGGCTGAAGGGTTTACACTTAGCTGACCCTCCCTCTCAAACACTGGGCGATCGAGCCAGTCCATGGCCATGACAAACCCCTCAAGCCAACGGATGGCTCCAAGCACCTACCAGCCTCCCCAGCCATTGTACCATCCCGCTAATTCTCTCTGAGTGGTCACCTTTCCCAGGCTCTGAGTTTCCAGTCCTATCCATCATCTCCTGTGGCTCCTGTTTCTCCTGCATCCCCCATTCCTGCAAGGCCCAGCCCTCCTCCCCTCAGAATAGCTGTTCTTGGCCCAGGTATTCACTTCTTCATGCCAGATCAGCAGCCCTCAGGCACTATTGACAGTTGGGGCTGGGTCACTCTGTGGTGGCGACCATCCTGTGTGCTGTAGGCTGTCCAGCGGCTCCCCTGGTCCCTGCGCCCTGGATGTCAGTAGCATCCCCCCCCCACACACCAGTCATGCCAACCATAGCTGTCCCCAGGCTTTACCAAAGGCCCCTGGGGGACAAGACCACTCTGCTTGGGAACTGCCGTGTTAGATTATGGCCACTGCCTCAAGTAACATGTGGTCACCAGACCATAGTTCCCCATCCCCATGCAGCCTTCAGTGGCTCCCCAGTGTCTGCCACAAACACCCACAGCCTCTGCCTGGCACTTGAGGCATCACAGCCCCAGCCTCCAGATTGCTGAGATTTTTCCAAAAATCATCTCTGCTCCAGCAGGACATGGGAGGGGGCTGCCTGAGTCAGACAGGAAAGGGGGACGGAGACAGAGGTGTCAACTGTGCTTGAAGTGTGGCAGCATGGCTGAGAATGACAGCATTTGTCAGTGGCACTTTATAAAATGTGTGAGGGATAACGCACATCCCTCTCTTCTGATTCTGTGTGTGGGCCCTGCTCGTGGGGGATTGCAAACAGCCAGAATGTCATTGTCCCCCTTCCCCTGGAACAGAAGTTTGCCTTGTCCATTTGTAGCAGAGTAGGGGTTCTTCTGGCACTTACTGTCTTTGGTTGCATAAGAAGTGGCAGTGGGTAGCCACAGGCTCTCTGGGTCTCAGGAGGGAGCCCCCCCACCCCTATAACCAGGCCAAGGGAGATGCTGCCAGGCCTTCATTTGACTGGAAGGGAAGGGTCCCTCTTCTGGCTGACGTTCTGGTGGAGGGAGGAAGGGGAGAGGAAAGAGCTGTCACTGTTGGAAAGTACGGCTTATCATGGAAACCGTCTTCAAGTGAGCAAAGAGTTCTTTTCTAGAACATCTTGCCAAGCTGTCACTCCTCTCTGCTTTGGAGAGAGCAGTTGGGTGTGTGTGGCAGCAGTTCGAATTCGGGATATGGAAAGAACACACGAGTGAGGAAGATGTTTTCATCAACAGATGCCACCTACGGAGTGTGCGAGGTGCCCTGGGCACCAGGCTGCGTGCTAGGGTGCAGGGAGGGAATAAGTCGGGTTAGACGCAGCTCTCCTAGCGGGGCCCACAGCCAACAGCAGGCCTGGGGTGCCTGTCCAAGTATTCTGAAGATGTTGAACCCATGAAGAGAAATCCACATAGTTATTTCAGCCAGATTGGTCCCCCAAGTGTGTGCCTGGGGGTGCATACATGTGTTTCTGGGTGTGTGCGTGTTCAAGCCCGTGTGTGCATGGAGTGTACACCCTTGTGGGATTGACTTAGGTTACCTTTCTCTTCCTTTCAGTGTCTGCTCCTCCTTCCTGCATAAACCACCTGACCTGTCTTCCTGTTTCCTGACCCCTCCTGCTAATGCACTCACCCTCCTTTCCTCCTCTCCCTTCCCACATCTCTGGCTTCTCCTACCCCTTGGCCATTCAGAGATGTCGCATTGCCCCTGAGACCCTGAACTTTCTCACATTCTCTCCTGCCCCCACCTCTCTGTCTCTGAGAGGCCATGTCAAGGAAGTGACATAAAAACCCAATTAAGTAGATATTATCCTCATTTTATGGATAATGAAACTGAGGTCTGGAGAGATGGTCCTAGGTCAGATGCTAGGAAGTGAGGAAGGCAGGATTTGAAAATCTGGCCGCCACACCAGGTCTGCTGTTGCTGCTGCCGCGGCTCAAGTCACAACTGGTTCCAAGGCCGTTTTATCTCACTGAATCTCAGGAGAAGATGTCCATCTCTGAGGCCCCTCCTCCAGGTTGTAAATGTTAAAACCAGAGACCAGCTCCTCCTTGACAGGGGATAGCCGGCATGAAGTTCTTCCTCTTGGCTAATTTCTGGTGGCAGCCCCTATGAGAAGGAAACCAAGGTCACACCCCATGTCAGGGACCTAGGAGGGGGCGGACCTGACGTTGATGGGAGCTGAGCAGGAATGTGAATGGAGGCCCACTGTCTGCAGACTCCACACCAGCCCAGGGGTCAGACACGGCTCTGCCTTCCAGCCTGGGCTGCCCCCTTTTCTTCCCACCTCACTTCTGTCCCCACTGTGAACTCCCAGCCTGTATCTCACCATGTGGTCACTCCCCTCCAAAGAATCCCCCTAGGGCCTGGGTGTGGGTACTAGGGGCTCAGTTTGTCCTCTGGAATGGACTCAGGGAGAGAGATCCATGCAGGTCCTGAATTGGGCTCGGGTCATTTGGGTGGTGGGTCCTGGGGTCCTTGACTTGTGAGCAGAGCATGAGGGTCTGGGGCCTTGAACTCTGCTTCCAGCTGGCCACTCACTCCCCAGGTGGCATGTCCCCAGGCACATGTGTGTCCACAATGTTGAGAGGAGACCATGGCTGTTCTCTGGCTCCAACACTGGCTTACCATGCTGTTCTACCCCCAACCCCATCCACCCCTCACACTGCCTTACCTTCCTTTCTTTGCTTGCTTGTCAACCTTGGGAACAAAATAGCTAACCCAAGTGTGTATTCAAGATGGGCAGCCTGGTACCTTGGGTAGAAAGAGAAATACACCATCAGTTTGTAAATATGTGAAGCCCCCAGGAACCTCCTGGGTAATAAATTTCCTGTCAATTTTATTGGATTCCCTAGAAAAATATTTGTGAAGGATAGAAAGAAGACAGATGTACCAATATAGCCATATCCCAATTTAAAGAAATGGGAAAAAACATAAAACTTTTCAATGTGTCCTCCTACCTGGAAGCCCAGCAGTTCAGGCTACTGGCTTGTGAAGGATTCAAGCAGGCAGCTGGGGGGCCTGGAGATGAAGATCAAAGCCCTTTCCCCCAAACCCACACTCGCACTGGCGCCTCTCCACGAGGGACAGGCTGCCAGCAGTCACTTCCCCACCTGACACCACCCTTCCTCCCCAGCTATCTCAGCACACCCTTGGGCGTGGCCCCAGCATCACTGCCTCTCAAATGTCTCTCTTGGGAGGTAAAGCAAAGGCAGTTTTCCAAAGGGAGACCTCCAGGGCCGTCTCTCCTGTTGGCATCCTGCACCATTGCAACCAACAGGCAGTAACTGAGCTCTTGGTCCGTGGCCAGCACCGTCTGGACATGTCTGCACATTATCACCCTCCATGGAAGGGGCTGCTGTTACCTTCATTTCACAGATGAGGAGACTAAGGCGCAGAGTTAAGTAACTCATCCAGGTTTGGGGGTTCATAAACAGGCGAGCCAGGATTCCTGCCCTGGCAGTCACTCCAAGGCCCAACACAGTATGTACTGGGTGTATTCTCACAGCGTGGGAGGAAAGGACAGGATGGACTGGAAACGAAGCCTCCAGAGTGAGTCTAGTGAAGATGCCAACTAAAGGAGTGGGCATGTCCCAGAGCGTCCCCTGGTCAGAGGGCCCCAACCTGGGCATGGCTGAGCTCTGTCCTTGCGGGGGTGAATCCCCGCCCCCGCCCCAGCACGGCCGATCAGTGCATCCGGTGGATCCCACAGCTATACAGGTGCACCAAGGGGTCAGCTAAACTGAATGGTCACTTGAATCCACCAATTCATGCCCAACATCTTGTCTGAAGTGGGCTTCCAGGGCATGTTTGATGGACCAGTGTGATGCCCAGTGTGGCCTAAGGTTCAAGGCCAACCCATTGCCCTGGGTGTGCTAGGTTCAGATCCCATTTCACCAAGGGGGCCCCACGTTCATAGTCAACACTGGCTTTGCTCCTGGCATTGCCCAGAGCACCTGTTGACCTCAGTCCCCCTCCCATCAAATCGTATCTACCTCCCAGAGTGGCTGTGAGGGTCACGTAGACAATGAAAGTGGAAGATCTAGGACAGGAGCACCCCTTGGCATTGACTTAATTGTGGCTGCCTAATCACAGAATGGCCAGCAGGGCTGGCTCCCATCCTCTGTTTCTTCCCCGTTGTTTATTCTTTGGAATTTTTGAAATGGAAACATACCACCAGCAGAAAATGAGGTGCACCTCTGCCTAAAGGAAAACACAGCCTCCTAACTTCTGTCAACTTGGGAATGTTCCTCTGTCCTCACCCAACCACTCCTCCTTCCCACATGTCAGGAAAATATTGTTCACAGAGACTCTGCTCCAGGGACCAGGCCCCTGGCTCGGTGTTCCACGTGTGTCTTCTTATTTCGCCTGCACAACAATCGCAACCATGTCAGTACCCCTGTTTCACAGATGGTGTAAACAAGGCTTAGATAGATTGACCAAGGCTACCCAGGTCATATGAGAGTCATGCCAAAGCAGGCTTCAGACACGGGCCACCTGCCTCCAGAGACGAAGCTCTTAGACTAGGCTAGGGTTTCTCAACCACAGCACTATTGGCATTGGTATTAGACAATTCGTCATTGTAGGGACTGTCTGTGCATTGTAGAATGTTTAACAGCATCCCTGGCCCCACTAGCCAGTAATGTCCCCAACCTAGTCATAGTAGTCAAAAAATGCCTTCAGACACTGCCCAGTGATTCCTGGGTAGGTGGCTGGGGGGGCGAAAGCACCTGAGCTGAGAAATGTTACCCTAGACTTACTGCTTCTTACTTGCTAGAGGTGACTCTGGACCATTCTAGGGTCAAACCCTGGGCTGAGCCCCTGACTTAGCTTCCTGCCTGCTTCCTTCAGCACTTTGCTCCTTCAGGTATCTCCTCATGAGAACTTTCCTCTCTGCTTCTCCATCCAGTGCAGGATGGTGAGCCCCAGCCTGGGCGCTGTGGCCAGATGGGCATTTATTAGAGAGAGGTCTGCTCCCCACTGACAGGCACTACCATCTTCACTCACACTGGCAGCTCCAGAGACTTCCTCTGAGCATGGAAGGCCTGCAGGTGGTCCAGCTTGGACCATACCCTTCCCATCATCAGTCCCCATCTTTCAGGGCAGGAGCAAAGCAGTTCAAGGGCCAGGAGATGCCCTCCTCCTCAGCCCCTCATCATCTGTCCTGGAGCAGGGCAAGGCGGCCCACACTGCCTCCAGAATGGCCTCTGGGATCTTCCCATGGATACAGCTGTCTGTGTGCACTGGGGTGGGGGCTGGGACTTCTCCAGTCCCCCAGATGGAGCTGTCAGAGCTTGGCGATCAAGGCCAGGCTGGCCTGAGCCACCAGTACTGCCTTCTCCAATTCATTTCTGACTCTGAGATTCATTTAATAAGCCCATTCATCACTGGCCATTCTGGGAAGCCAGACAGGCCGCAGAATGGGAATCAGAAACCCTCTCTTCACTTCCTGCCCTGCCTGCTCCTGTGTTGTGTTTCCCGTTAAGTTCTCTCTCCTCTCTCCTCTCGGCTGCGCTCCTCTGGGGAAATGCAAGACTGGATTATTCTGATTGCTAGTAAAGCACCAGCTAATGGAAAGTCCGTGTGGTGTGAGGGCTTCGATCCCTGTCTGACCTCCCTGCGGGGTGGTCGGCTCAGCCCCCAGCCCCCAAGTATATCATGTGCGTTCCTTCCCGAAAGGCATTTGTGGATGGGGGTTGTCTCGGGGCACGAGGACCACCTCTCCCCACCCTCCCACCTGCCATCCCCAGCATTTAGGGGTTTTGAAGCCCCTAAGATACTTAAAAAGAAATGCCAAAATGGGTTTCCAGAAATTGTGGTATATGTTAAGTTTTTGTGTTTAATCAGTTAACTTTTTTAACATAAAAAACACAAAGCTGGTGTATTATAGTGATCATAAGATAATTACAGGGTTTATTTTTAAAATGCTAATTCATGGTTCACTGCAAGCTGTGTGGTAGGGTAACAGGACAGAGCGACGAGCCTCATCTTCTTTCCACATCACTGTGTGTTTAGCCTCATTGCCCGACAATGCGGAAGTCTAACATTGAGGCCAGTTGTACCGTGGGCCGAGGCCCCCCACATGGGGTGTGACCTTGGTTTCCCTTCTCATAGGGGCCGCTGTTGGAAGCTGGCCAAGAGGAAGAATCTGCTGCCAGCTGTCTCCTGTCAAGGAGGAACTGATCTATAGTTTTAATATTTACAACCTGGAGGAGGGACTCTCAGAGACAGACATCTTCTCCAGAGATTAAGTTGAATAAAAGAGCCCCGGAACCAGACATGATTCCAGCACCAGCAGCAACAGCAGAGATGTTGGGGAGAGTGGGTGCAGGGGCCACTTCCTGTAACTGACTTAGGGTGACCTCTCTGACTTTATCTTCCTCATCTATAAGAGGGGGATGATAACAGTACCTACCTGATTGGAGTCGCATGATTAAGTTAACGTTTGTAAAGCTCCCAGAACAGCGCCTGCTACACAGTAAGTGCTCAAGAAATGTGAGCTGGTGTAGCCGTATCGTCGTGGTTCTGGTGTCACCTCTGTGCATGTGGGTGTCCTCCCCTTTCAGCTGACCCTGGAGGAAGGCAAATGGTACGCATAAGATGGTGATGTTCACTAGGCCAGAGGAGTATTATGCATTTCCTAATGTTTTTATTATAAAACAGCTTTGAATAGATACAGTACTCATTGGAGGAATATGAAGAACCCCCGTGGACCCATCCCAGGCTTCAGGAATTTTCAGTTCACAGCCAGTCTTTGTCTCTATGTCCATCCTACTCCCCAGAAATCCTTTCTGGTCTAGGTCTTTTCCTGGCACCAGTGGCCTGCTATGGCAACAGAACATCAGCTGGACATTGGGGGTGTCATGGAAGAGGAGGGGTACAGCGCTTACTGGGATCCTCTCTGCAGCTCCCCTCAGGGCATCCAATTCACAAATCTTCTCTATCCCGTGATGAAGGCAAAGGACAGATGCTATCCCTGGTTTACATCCTGGGGCTAAACCTCCTGAAGGTTCGAGTTTGACAGTTTTGTGCCAGCATTCCTGCTCCTGATCTAAGAGCTAGGCAGTGGCCCAGGCTGCTTCAGCTGTTGGTTGCTCTCTGGTCTGAGCACTTGGAGCTCATTTCTCATAGTGAGCCTCACTGAGTGCCCCTTTCCCTCTGCCACCAGATCTCCGCTCGTCCTTCCAGTTCCTCAGCTCCTCCAGCTGCAGGAGCCCCAGGGCCGAGTGCTGGCTTCTCCTGGAGCACCGGTGTGCGTGCGCTCTCTTGGAACAGTTTCATTTCTTGTGACTTCCTTCTTTCCATCCTGCTCTTCTTCCACCCCTCCATCAGAACACCTCCCCATTCCCTTCATCCCTCTGTCTGCCTGTTGTCAGAGCTCTCATGTTCTCAGGGCACCGATGTGGACTTCTTTTCAAAGAAGAGATGTTCTAAAGACAACTGCCGGGGGTGGGGGGATCCTTGGTCACCTGCCAGGTGGCTGCTTTAAATGTCAAGTGTGGGGAAGAGACACGCATCGAAACAGAGAAACTGGAGGCCGTGACACTTAGCTGGGGTGTCGTTCAGTCTCCTGCCCAAGCCCAGAATTGTTCCTTGCCTCCCAGAGGTGACCTCCCTGCCCCAGGCTGGTCCCCTTCGCTGGGGGCAAGGACTTCCCTGGAGGTGTGACCTGAGCATCTCTGACTCTTGAGTGGCATCTTCCCAGGTGACCTGTTGACAGTGGGGTCCTCCTGGGACCCCTGCCCCAGTGCTTCACACCAAGCTGTGCTAATTGTCACACATGGGCACAGTGGTGTCCCTCCAGGGTGGCTTCCAAGCACCCTGAGGTGACCCTGCCTGGCCTCTTCTCTCCAGATCTGGGCCTTCACCTACACCCAGCAGATCCTGCAGGAGGAGCTGTGCCTGTCAGTTATCACCTTGTTCCCTGGCGCCCCGGTGGTTCTGGTCCTTTGCAAGAATGGAGATAAAAGACAGGTAAGTGCTCAGTGCATCCGCCCTGGGAGGTGGCTGCCTGTGTAGGTCTGTCTGTGTGCAGGAAAAAGAGGCTAGAGAGGAGGGAGAGTTGATAAAGAAGATATCCTTCTGGCTAGGAGAGAGGAGTGGAACTCTGGTGCCATCTGTGATGCCCAGGCAGCCATCAGCTGCCATGTGAAAGCCTGTTGACCACGTCAGACCTCTGCTTGCACGTGTGTCCTGTACTACCCAGTCTTGCTCAGATGCCCACCGGGATCCCAGAGCATGCTGGGACAGAGGCTGCAGGGCCACTAGGATAAGCAAGACTCGAACCTCTGCCTTCGGGGGCATTGCTTGGGCTCTTGCAGGATGTCCCACAAAGTTCATAGCACTCTGGATGCATGACATGCCTGGTTCCTGTGGGGGCAAAGTTGTTGGCTTCAACCAGTTTCCCACCAACTGGGTCTTGTTTGGTGGGAATGCTCATTTTTATGGCTCACCAGCTATGTGACCCTTGGCAGGTTAGTGGAGCTCTCTGAGCCTCAGTTTCCTCCTCTGTGCACTGAAGCTGATGATGTACATCATACAGGGCCGCTGTTTAAAGCAGTTCACTGGGTCATCCATCCATGAGTCATCCATCCATGACACCTGGTCAGCGGTAGTTCCCCCATACCTGTCCATCCCCTCCCTCCTTGTCGTGTGTGGTTAGGTGTGGGATGCAGCCATGCAAGACCCGCTCTCTGCTTGGGCCCTCGTGTGCTGAAGCTCTTCGGAGGAGCAGAGATTCAGGCCCAGGGAGCTGCCCTTCCACCCTTCCTGCTTCACCACCCGCCCCCCTCTCCTCAGCCACTCTCGCCTACTTCATGATAGTGTGGATACCGAGTGTGGATCATTTCTTTTGTTGCTTCTGTGACTAACTTGCTTCACATTTTCTGGCCCAGTGCTTGGAAAGTTATTGCCTTCTAATGAGTTTTCCTAGCAAACATATTGATTTTGCTTTTACTTTTTCTAATCCGATTTAAAAAAAAAAAGCCAGCAACAATACCTGGTAAGGCAATTAGTTGCAGCTTTCTTCCTCCTTGAGACCATGAAGTCAAGTCTCTGGGTGACCCTAGCCCTGTGGTGTCAACATTTCTGATTAACACTGGAACTCCTGATACTGTCGCTAGGACCCAGGGCCTTAGTCGGAGAATCCCGCTTAGTCCTCTCCCGACTCTGTCTCTCCAGCAATGGACCAAGACTGGCTCCCGCATTGAGCACATGGCGTCCCACCTCTGCCTCGACACAGACATGTTTGGCGACGGTGCTGAGACTAGCAGGGAAGTTGTCGTCAATCCATGTGAGTCCTCACTCATGAGCCAGCACTGGGACCTGGTGAGCTCTTGAGGAAGCACTCGGGACGAGCAGGGGCCATGGGGCGGCGCTTCCCTGGGTGAGATGCAGACTGGAAACCAGGCTGCATGTGGCTGTATGCTTAGCAGAAGCCCTGGATGGGGAAATGGACGCAGAGCTCCCGCCCACCCCCCAGGACGGGAGCGGTTGTCTCAGGGAGGACACAGGCAAAGATGCAAGCCAGGAGGAACTCGGAGACAGAGCTCCGTGTTTTCAATGCCGTTACTTTCCAGTCCTGGCCGGGTGTGCCCTGGAGTGGTGTCTGGAGGCAGAGATCTGATGGAAAGTATTGATGTTTGTCCCCTGTCTTACAAAAGAGGCCGGAGAAGAACAGCCTTCCTTGTCACTAGGCCAGGACTCCAGTGAAAGATAAAGAGTGGAGGTTGTTTTCAAAACAAATAAAAGAACCTTAGAAGTTTTGTCTGTGTGTCTCTTACTTTGTTTTCACTTACGTTAGCTCGGAGCTAGGTTAAGCTCTCCTTCGCATTGGGGCGTGGGGCTGATGGGGACTCATGGATGAAGAGAAGGACAGGGAGATGGAAACCTGTGCCACCGACAGGCTGTGCAACCTTGAGAAGAGATATAACTTCTCTGATCCTTCGTTTCCTATGACGTCAAGTAGGGGAATTGCAGCATTTCCTCCCAGGGGAGGCATGGTTTCTCTCACCCAGGGATGCTGCATCTATTTAGGAACCCCAGGCTCTACCTGGGGAGACCCTACTGCAGTGGATCCAGGGCAGGATTCAGGCTCCTCCCTGGCTGGAATCACTGCCCTAGGCATCTCTGTGGGCCCTTATGACTTTATAGTCTGTGGCCATTGGTTCAGGAGTTTCTTCTGCTAACAAATCCCCAGTGTGGTCTGGGAATTGGTTCTGTGGTTGTCCATTCTTAGTAACTAGGGTTTAAGAAAAGAACAGACCCATATTGTTTAAAAGCTCCCAGAATGTGCCTGTACATTCTCAGCCAAGGTAAGTTCACTTCATGCCAATTAGTAACAGTCTTAGCTGTCTATCACCAAGTAACAAATGACCCCAAAACGTAGCATTTTAAAGCAAAGCACATCTCCGATCGGACAGTTTCTATGGGCCTGGCCTCACTGGGTCCCCTGCTTCAGGCTGACTTCAAAGGTTGCAGTCAAGGTGTTGCAGTGGTGGTTGGTCCCTCACTGTTTGCCCAAAGCTGCCCTCAGTTCCCTGCCATATAGGCCTCTCCAGCCCAGCACCAGAGTCAAGCAAGCCAGAAGGCAAGGATGCTGGCAAGATGGAAGTGACAGCCCTTTCCAGCCTCATCTCACAAGTTACCTTCCATCACTTGTGCCACATTCTGTTTGAGAGAAGCAAGTTATAGGCCCAGCCACACTCAAGGGGAGAGGATTTCACAAAAGAGCTGGTGCCAGGAGGTGGGGGTCACTGGGATCTGTTTTGGAATCTATCTCCCATCTTATACACTAAACAGGTGTCTGTCTCCCCTTCATCCAGAAAGCCTTTGGCGATGCTGTTCAAGCTCCTCATTATAAAATCTGTTACTGTGGAAAGTGAAGGGCTGAAAATACACACCCAGCATCTCCACTGGTGACTGGATTTGTTTATGCTTTGTCTTCTATTGCCATGTTTAGTTACAGTTTGGCTCTTTTATGGGGCTGTGTCACTTCCCACTGTGGAAAGGAGAAGAGGCCACAGTAAAGACATTTATAGAAGAAGGTGTTCTGTTGGCTCCTTAAGCTACATGTCCATGGGGTTTAAACTAGGCTTGCAGAGAAGAAAGAACAGATAGTTTCACCAGTGTCCTCTCCCTTAAGTCAGGGGAGCAGATTCTGCACTAGAATAGCTAAGGGAGCTGGTGCTATCCTCATCTGAGTCCTTTTCTCCCTCCATATCTCTATGTATCTGGGACTTCCCTGGTGGCAGGAAAGCTGACTCATGCCTTGCTTCAGCTCCAACACTGGGCCAGACACATCACGCACTCTGTGAACGTCCTCCTAAATGGTGATTGAAAACGTTATTTCTTGTCCAAGATCCAGTGACATTACTTTTTTACTTGCCCTGTGAAGTCACAGTGTAGGTGATAGGTCTCTCTCAGACACCCAAGGACATAGGGAAACAGAAATGGAGGCCTCTATCCCAGAGGATTGCCAACACCCATTGGATCATCAAAAAAGCGAGAGAGTTACAGAAAAACATCTGCTTTATTGACTATGTCAAAGCCTTTGACTGTGTAGATCACAAAAAACTGGAAAATTCTTGAAGAGGTGGGAATACCAGACCACCTGACCTGCCTGCTGAGAAATCTGTTTGCAGGTCAAGAAGCAACAGTTAGCCACTGGACATGGAACAACAGACTGGTTCCAAAAAGGAAAAGAAGTACGTCAAGGCTGTATATTGTCACCATGCTTATTTAACTTCTATGCAGAGTACATCATGAGAAACGCTGGGCTGGATGAAGCACAAGCTGGAATCAAGATTGCTGGGAGAAATATCAATAACCTCAGATATGCAGATGACACCACCCTTATGGCAGAAAGTGAAGAAGAACTAAAGAGCCTCTTGATGAAAGTGAAAGAGGAGAGTGAAAAAGTTGGCTTAAAACTCAACATTCAGAAAACTAAGATTATGGCATCTGGTCCCATCACTTCATGGCAAATAGATGGGGAGACAATGGAAACAGGGACAGACTTTATTTTTTGGGCTCCAAAATCACTGCAGATGGTAACTGCAGCCATGAAATTAAAAGGTGCTTGCTCCTTGGGAGAAAAGTTTTGACCAACCTAGACAGCATATTAAAAAGCAGAGACATTGCTTTGCCAACAAAGGTCCATCTAGTCAAAGCTATGTTTTTTCCAGTAGTCATGTATGGATGTGAGAGTTGGACTATGAAGAAAGCTAAGCGCTGAAGAATTGATGCTTTTGAACTGTGGTGTTGGAGAAGACTCTTGAGAGTCCCTTGAACTGCAAGGAGACCCAACCAGTCCATCCTAAAGGAAATCAGTCCTGAATATTCATTGGAAGGACTGATGCTGAAGCTGCAGCTCCAATACTTTGGCCACCTGATGCGGAGAGCTGACTCATTGGAAAAGATCCTGATGCTGGAAAAGCTTGAAGGCGCAAGGAGACGGGGATGACAGAGGATGAGATGGTTGGATGGCATCACCGACTCAATGGACATGAGTTTGAGTAAGCTCCGGGAATTGGTGATGGACAGGGAAGCCTGTTGTGGTGCAGTCCATGGTGTCGCAAAGAGTCAGACACGACTGAGCAACTGAACTGAATTGAACTGAATTCCAGCGGAGCAAACATTTTTTTTAAAAATCTCAGCTGCTTTGATGTAGCAGAAAAGCTTAGTCTCTGGGTTATCTTCCTCTTCCTAGTGAAAGACATCAGGATGATAACAAAGACTCTGGAGGATCTAGGGGGTAATCTGCTAATGGAGATACCAAAGGTTCACATTTGAGCTGCAGGGTGTGCATCATAAGGCCTCCTTAATGGAAAGCAGAATTTAAAAACTGATGCAAATAGCTTCTTATAAATAGCTATATCACTGTGACTGTGTAGGGTTATCCAAACAGCCCCTCTTCACTAAGTTGATACTGATGAAGCCAAAGTAAGAGTAATTTGTGGTTTAAAAGCAAGAATAGCAGCAGTTCCAAAGCTCCATCAATCAAAACAAAGCTGATGAAACCCGGATAGGACAGCAACCTGCCCCAGTCTGAGATGCCTGCATCCTGCAATTATACAGCAGAGCGTGTGTGGCCAAACTTTGCCCAGAGGCCAGGTCTTTGGGTAGGTGCTGAGTTAGAGGCCCCAGTCAACCTGATTATTGAGCTTGAATGTCAGAATTCAGGAACCTGGAGAGCTCACTTTGTGGGTCACTGGTGGTTGTGGGTGAACATTTGTTAATGATACAAGTGTATGAAAACAGAAGAGACCCCTACTCTTCACATTTTCCAGGCTTGCAAGATTGAGACCTGAAACTGAGCTTGAACAGTCACCGCTCTGAAACAGTCTCGTTAGGCTGCCAGGTGAGGAGGTGACTGAGTGTGGCAGAAACCCGTCACCAGGGATCACATCTGGCTAATGCAGACAGATGTGAGCAATATGGGCTCCTAAGTAAATGGTGTGGTGTGTGAATTAAATGAAAGGAAATTCATGCATACATTTTATACATTTATGAACTTGAGAGAAGCAGGGGCTTCAGGCACTCTCTAGTACCTGGATTAGAGTTGGAGAGATGATGGTGTTGAGTAGATGGGCAGAAATGGGAGTTTTTCAGTAGTTCTGGGGTCAGCATAGGTGGCCAAGCTGGGTGCCATATTGAATCTGAGGCTCACTCTGTTGGCAGTTTCTATTCTTATGTGCTGTGTGACTTCTCTGTGTAAGCTCATCTCAGCCGGCGTCATTTCCTCTGGGCTGTGGAAGTATGCCTTGGGGAAGGGTCAAGCTTGCCTCTGTTGGTTTCCATTGAATTCATACCAGTTTGTACACTGACTTTTCCTGTTGTGGTTTCCACTGAAAGATGTGGAACCCCACATCTAAGCTTGGCACAAGCTTGGATTTTGATCCTTTGCAGATTATCTTTTCTTTACCTAAATTGTTGTCCTGCTTCCCTGCCAACTGGTAGGTGGGGTTTGTTTAGCTCTTCTAAAGCTTCCCTGGTGGCTCAGATGGTAAAGAATCTGCCTGCAATGCAGGAGCCCTGGCTTCAATCCCTGGGTCAGGAAGATCCCTTGCAGAAGGAAATAGCAACCCACTCCAGCTTTCTTGCCTGGGAGATCCCATGGACCCAGGAGCCTGGCAGGCTACAGTCCGTGGGGTCGCAAAGAGTCAGACATGACTAAGTGACTAACACTTTTACTTTCTAAAACACACACCTAAGTGTAGGGTCTCATCTCTGGCCCCAGCCACTCATGAAGCTTCGTATGTGCCTCCAGTTGGGTGCTGAAACCCCAGCCCTGGTTATAATAGATATCTGGCTTCAATTCCCTTTTAGCTCTCATTCAC